AGGCAGCCTGAGACAGATAGAAATCTCAGCCAGGACAAACTGCTTTGCATCTCTATGGATGAATGCAGAAGGCTGCAGTTTCATCAGTCAGATACACTACCGAACACTTTGTCAGGAATGCTGAATTACTGTATATATAGGCTGCAGTGCCGAATTTCAGTGTTCCCTGACCTGTAATTTCTTACGTTGCTACATCTACTGAAACACAGAAGTCTGGCAGCCATTAGTCATGTTTAACTGGAGCTGGAAAAGACACTCTGTTGTACTGTAATGAAACAATTTTCTAAATGGAAGAGGAGCTGGCTGATGTTGAACTTCCACCAATTAGCTTTCGGCTGTTGCACGTTTTCAGACATTCTGGCTTATTGTTAGATACAGGTTAAGGATGAAGCTTCAGATGTTTGCCTTGGGGATATCACTGCTTCACAGCATCAAGCTTTTACTTTGACACTCAGCCAAAAAATGTCTTAAGTGATTTTACCCAATTATCCTTGCTTAAATGTCTACATTCCTCCCTTTTAGCAGTCTTCCCTCCCTTGCTAGAGATAGATGTTTCTACAAGAAGTCCTGATTAGCCCTTGTGTTTCACATAAAGGATATGCTGCTATTGATCTTAACATGTGCCATTGGAGATACTCAGAACTGACCAGGCAATGCCATCGGGAATGTTGCTGGAAATTGCTGGGGTCCAAGCAGGGGGTTGGACCTTAGTAGGTCTCCAGCCTGCTCAAGAGCAGGCTGAGCCATGGGGTGAGACCAGTGCTCATGGCGTTATCGTGTGGGAGCTGGAAACCCTCCAACGAGGAAGATGGCACCACCTCCCTGCCCCTGTTCTCAGGGAGAAAAAGCCTTCCCTTATCTCCATCCTCTCCGGCCCTGCCAGCTCGCTGCCTGACAGCACCTTCTCCCCAGAGCTGCCCCTGGTCTCACTGGTATGGCTGATAGGGCTCTGCCTGCCTGGGGCAGGGCTGCCCTTTGCTTCTGCCCCAAATACACAGGGGCCCTGTCCTTTCCTGTTCTCTTCCCTTGTGCTTATGAGCTGCTCCACCTGCCTTGGTTTGGTGTCCCCTGCAAACATGATAGTGTGCATGGTCACCTCCTCAGGTCATGGGTAGAGATGCTGAACAGGACGAGCCCCAGGGCAGACCCTATAGGACCCCACAGGGCACCAGCATTCAGCCAAACATAACCCAGTGGGCCACCACCTCTGTGTCCAACTGCCTAGCCAGCCATTTTTCCCTTGGTGAGGCATCCACCCAGACCCTAACATCCAGTGTGGATACAAGGACACTGTGGAAGAGTGCTGGAAACATTGCTGAAGTCAACCTGAATGATAACCGCTGTTCTCCACTTGCTCGCAGATCTAGTCATTTTAGCACAGAAAGCAATGTGGGTGAAGAATTATTCACTCTGGGTTAAGCCATTGCTGCCTTCTCCCTCATGTGGCAAGACATGGGCTCCAAGAGACACATGCCGTGATTTTCCCTGGTACCTGAGTGAAACCAGTCAATCTTCAGCTCCCCAGATCATCTTTTGGCCCTTTTCCAGGTGTCAGGGACCTCCCCCACCTGTATGACAATAAAGATAGGAACACTAAGAGAAGGACATGATTACCAGTTGCCATTCCATGCTGTTTATGTACTAATTCCTTTTTCCACTGATCTACTTTGAAAAGCTGCCTTATGCTAATTGAATGTTGAAACTTCTTGCAGGACAGCTCTATTATTTTAGCTAGAACTGAAGTCAGACTTACTTCATTGTCAGAACTGTGTCCTTTTTTCATATTTCTGAACTTTAATTGAAGTCTCTGTGTTTGAAACCTCTGGACATGTGTACAAACAGCATGGCTTTGAGAAGCAAGATTATTACTTCCTTTAACCCAAGTCTTACATTGTAAATAAGGACACGCTGCCATGGAGTTTCCTTGGTGTTTTGCCTAAGTGGGAGCTCTAACAGAGCTCTGTGCCAGGTCAGGGGTAAACACCACTACGTGCTGTTCATGTGCAAATAAATACTCTGCACACTAACATGTATGGTTTTAGTACTTCTTTACCGCTGAAAGAAAGAAAATTCTTCAGGCTTGCATTTAGACACTACAAGTGAGCCACATGCCTGTATGACAGCCCTCAGATTTTGGACTACTTCCCCTTTGTCTTTACTGATCTGAGAACAGGAAGAGAAATCTTTCTAATGTCTTCTTCCAGTAAACAGGAGTGTGGGAGTCCTGGCCTTCTGTACTGGTGTATTGTATTGGTGGCTCAGAGATAAGAACACTACCAAAACACCCATTTTGCTCTGAAATAAAACTGACATTGCGACATACTGGTATATAGACTGGGAGTATCCTCTGCAGTCCTAACAAATACAACATTCCAGTGGATGCCTTTCTGTGCTACCCTTATAGGTTCCCAGCCAGGAACCACATCCTGAGGAAAGGTATTTGCTGGCTGTTAGATACAACTGAACTCCTAAAACATTTCTGAACTCTCACATATGGGATTAAAACTTCATAAAGAGACTAAATTCTTATTTGAGTACATCAGAGACACAGCAAGTCATACTGGTCTCAGCATGAAAGGCACAAGTCCTTAACAGAAATGGAGTTACAAATGTCTACCCGTGAGTCTATGATTCACTATCTCAGCATAATTTTTAATTTAATAAGAAGCAAGAAGGTTTCTTCTTTATTTCAAAGGATGGAAGATGATGATTCTATCAGATACAAAACAGAAATCCTATGAAAAAAATCAGCAGCAATTGAAGTCAAAAATTGTGCATGAATTTTATTAAAATACTTTGTTTCCTGAGCAAGATTTACAACACAACACGCAGATGCATTTAATAACTTACTTCACTATACATTCTGCACTTGTGACAGTTGTGCAACAAAATAGCAACTGATAAAGTTCCCAGCTTTTAGTATTTCAAAAAGTGACATCTTCTGTAAACAGAGCTTTGCTGTTAGCAGTGTCAGTGTTATCAAGCTGAAGTGATTAATTTCAGCAGCACATTTAAAGCTTTTTAGACTTCAACACAACTTCTACACTGGCAGTTTAAGCAGTATTTTTTACATCTTTTTTTTTTTTTTTTCCACAATCTTAGAGTAAAAACAGCACAATCAGGCTCTTTTCTAATGGATCAATTGATAAAAACCACAGACGCAAATAAAATGGTATGAACACAAACACAATCTTGGCACAAGTAATTTATATCAGTGTAATTCTGACAAGTTAGTCTGATGAAGCACTGAGCTTATTGAGAGTCCTACATACATAATACAGCAACAAAACAGCTCCACAAAATGTTACTAATTCAACCAGGTAATGCTGATGATGTGCATTCACAAAAATGGTGTGCAGCTGGTGCTTAATCCTATGTCTTTCATAAGCTCTAAATATTTAATTGTGAATCTTTATATTTCAGAAAACATAAGGGAATTTTGGACACCCACTTAAAGGACAATATTCCTTTTAAAATCTGAGTATTGGGCATTTCAGAAAAAGTTGTGAATCTAACTTTTGTTACCTTCTTTGCCTGTCTGCATGCCAGGGACACTTAAAAAGCTACACTGAAAACAGCAGCCTGTTCACCAAGGACTGTTGCAAACAATGTAAGCAATAAAGCAACTGTGGCTTCTCCAATCACAAATGCAGCTGTTTCACAATGAATACTGAGTCACACGGTTACACTAAAACATGACACAAATATATTCTTGCTTTTGTCCAGAGAAGAAATACAACACACAGTACAGGTGCACCACTGATTTCAGTGTAACACACCATGTGTCAAAACTCAATACAATGGGTCTGGATCAGCCTGACACCATAGCCCTCTAAGTGCTGCTGAGAAAGAGAAGTTGAGGCATGCAAATAGAAAATGATGATTTATTTTCAAACAAAGTAAAGCTGGAGGTGTGTTAAGATGATCTAAGAAGATTGGCAAGATTATTGACTAGCATTCACTTAGTAAAATGCTAATCGCGTTAGTCCATAGCTGTGCTCATCTCCAAATTAAGGGTTACTAAATATATTAATGGCACTGAAAAAAAAAAAAAAAAGAAAAAAATCAGTTTCATCTTTTAATTTGGCTGTCACCTTGGTGTTCTTTGGGAGGATCTAATACTTTAATCTGAACCTTATTCTAACTGACAATGGAAAGAACAGCAGCAGTTTACAGGGAGAAAGACTGACAACTGCTGTTGCCGAATTACATGTTTTTTTCTGTTTTGTGTTTTGAAAAGAGCTCAATTATGCTGGATTACTGACACTCCACTGCAGGAGGTGTCAGAGTGTCCTGGTTGGCTCTTACATGCACAAAGCCGCTTAAATAATGACCCAGTTCCCACGTGCAGAGTGCTGCTGTCTAACATGCTAACAGTCAACAGTTTGCACATGGAAAAGCACTTTGTAGTATATTAAAAATCTCAAACACTTACATGCTCCGAATGAAGGAGTCAGTAATGTTAAAAAAGGAGATGAGGGAAGTCCTGTTTCAGATTGTACCATATACGTAAGAACAAACACTTTTAAAAAGCTCTCTGAAACTCCTGGAAGGCCCCTATTCCACAGCCTCCGTGATCAGAGAGGATGTATGCATTGTTTTCTGCATAAACAGTAAAAACAGTGACAAAGTAGAGCAGGGGAAAACTGACACACACCTGAAGGAAGCCTCTGGGGAAAGAAAATTAAAATGCGTCCCTTTATCGTACACCAAAATATGTTAGAATTTACATACTAAACCCATTTGGCAAAGGAACCTCTGGTAAAATTTACTGTTAAAAAAAGCACATGAAGAGATGGATTCATTAAAATCATGCTTGTCTAGCTAAGCTAATATTCCCTCTAAGATGACCCCCTCCTGCTTCAGACAGACTGTAGTTTATCTGCCTAAAGCTTCATCCCCAGTCCAGTCAATGATTGTCACACGTGTGGTGGTCACACTAACAGATGTCTTCTCGCGCCATGCAGGACTGCAATATTGCACGTTAGCAGCGGAGAACTTCAAAATGTCATGAGCATATCACGTTCTTGTACACTAGTGTAGAACGGCCTCCCAAAGATAAAGGAATGTAGACCTGGTTTAATCTTCTCAGCCAAAGCCATTATTATGTTAAGATCGCCCTCTGCTGTTAAGTCAAGATCTACCTTTAAGCTCCGAAGGGACCTAAAAGGCTTCTTTCCTCTTTGTCTGCAAGAAAATAAAGAAGGCTGTTGTAAAAAAGAACAGAGCAATTTTCTCAAAGCCTACTTTCTATTATCTGTTCACTTACGTGTCATCCTCTATGTATTTTATTAAAGTTAAGGCTTTTCTGTGAAGGACTAGCAGAAATTGTGCAAGGAAAGTACTCCTTAAAGACAAGCCAGGCTTCAGATGAAAGATCTGTTAAAAATTATACCAGAAAATTAAGTACACATGGATATTCAAGAATAATTTTAAGAATGTAGAATATAAACAAACATTGCATACACATATAACATATCCTTAATTATAGCAGAGCAGGCACATGAACAGCAGATTTGTAGATACACTCAACATTGTTTTGTAGTTTTCTAGCTGCTCTGATGCAATAAATTAAGCTTACAATTCTGTTTGGATAAAGTATTATTTTCCTTCTTAAAATAATCTGAAATTAATCCCAGTCAGGTCGCTTTCTCAATACTGTAATTGTAGACACTGTTGCCCAGCAAGAGAAAATGTGTATTGTTTTTCATATGTAAGAATGAGTTTCAGTATTATACTACAAGTAACAGAAGTATTTTTCTCTCTAGTTATGGAGAGAAGTATCGCAGCACTAGTATGAAAAAGAGCTACCAAGCCAACAAATTATCTGTTCATGTTAAATTATATGTTACTAGGGCTCAAAGCACTGAACTTTAGCTCGTGTTCTTTCTGAAAAAGCAACAATTACCTGGTCCAGGAAGGCTTTTACTAATGTATCTCGATGCAGAATATCCTGGAAGACATTTCTATAGAAAAGAAAGCAAAGAAACGTGAGCTAATGCCATGAAGGGACTGTGCACAGCAGTAGCATTACTTTTTACAATCTGGCAGAAATGCAAAGTGAATTCAAAATTTAAGTGAAATAGAATCCTGCTAATTTTAAAGCTAATAAAGAACTGTAAGGTAAAACTTTCGGGTGAAATCAAGCAAACTCAGGAAAGCCATTGGACTCTGTCAAATACACTTAGTTCTATTATACCCCTAATTAAAACAGGGAACAAAATAAACACAACATGGTCAGAAATATCACTGAAAATGAATTTCAGTAATATTTAATGCAACAAAACTACTGATGGAACTGGTAAATTCCTCCAAAACAAATGCAACAACCAGAGCTCAAGGAGCTTCCTAGATGCAAAAAAGCTCATATACTTTTTTAGAAAGTACACTTTAAATTTCTTGTCTCAAATCAAGTAACACTGAGAGATATGAGAGGAGTACATACAAATCAGGTGTGAAGCTCTCATCTGTGTGGATAATATGATCTTGAGACATTTCTTCATCTGAATTAGCTCTCCAAAAAGCTGTCAGCTCAGATCTCATATATCGTCGTTGGTTATAGATGTGTTCATGACAAGGGGGCATCTGCTTCACTGTATTGACATCTACATCTATATGTGTAGTAGGATATGGGGCATACATTACTTGACGGAAGGGCAACACAAAGCTTCCTGTTGCATCCTGTTTTAGTGAAAAAAATTATTCTTCTAGTTACTTTCAAAAAAACACAAAACATCCATATTGGAACAAAACAATATTAAAGCATCATGACTAAGTTTTAAATCTCATTTATTTAGACATGGTTTGTTTGATGGAACTGGTGGTTGTAGCCCAGTAAAAAAGTCCTTCATACTGGATGATTCCCTTATATTAACAGTACTGAAGTAACCTGCATGTTACAGTTATTGCATCACCTGGTTTGTGAGCCCATTAACATTACAGTATTATATTTAGCTGGTAAGTTTAAACTGCTCACTAGAGCAAGCAGCATTACTATTCTACTCATCTTCACCCACTGCACCCATTTAAAAATACTTGGAAACTGTAGGACTGATGAACTTTTCTTTTTTTGCTTTGGTACAACACAAAAACTTAAATGCCTTTAGGGATTCTAGCCTCATACAGGCAAAAAAGTATTATTATTGTACCTCAAAGTATAGGAACAATTCTGGCCAATACTCAAGAAACAGATGTGTCAGAAAAAAGACTGGCTTGGAATTTTAACATGCAAATAGTTACAAGGAAAGCTACAGTACTAGAAAGGAATCAAGGGAAGATGACATATTTCTCTGAACATATCATTTGCATGCAAATCATATGCACACTCATCCACAGAAGAAAGTTCTTAGACTAAAGAAGAACAGAACTTTCCTAAGCATACTTACTTTGAGCAAGCCTTGAACAAAAAGTCCTGACTCGTATTTGAAAGAAGACTCATTTCTACAGAGTCTGGAGCACTTCCGCTCTGATGGTGTAAGAAACAGACATAATGTTCTCACAATCTGCATTAAAAAAGTTTTGAAAAACATGAAAAAGTAAGAAATGAGCTATCTTCAAATGCAGTTTCTGACTAAAATGTATTAGGCATGTCAAAGGAATAAAAAAGTTCATCATTCTTATTAGAAAAGCCAAGACTTTACCAAGGTCACAGGATAGTGACATGCTTACATTACTAAGCTGTAAGCCATATTACTCCAACTTTTTGTCAAATTAAGGAAAAATCCAACACCTTTTGGCAAAGTTTGGTTTTTAGCCAATTATGTAGAACAAATCACTTTTGCCTTCTGCTACCTCTTCCTATTATATAAACATGAGTTACTATGATTACTTTCCCTCCCTTTTAAGACTTCTACTTTATTCATTCCATCTTGAATTAACAGTTTTTGTCTCCCATCAGGCACAGTCAATTTCCTAAATAAGTATCCATGCTGACTTCCTCAGCAATTTCTTCAAACTCTACATTAAAAGCAGCAAAGGCATTTCATTATCCATTTTCAAACTCCTGTGCTGCAATAGCTACAAGTAATCATCTCGAAACACAAAGATGATTCCATTCTGCTAATCTTTCAGTCTTAACCGTCAGTGTCCTGCCTGTGTCTGTGAGGTGTTTGAGAAGGCTTTGTCCTTGTACAATGCGTTCCTGTAGTAACTAAACTAATGACAACCTAGTTTCTGACTAATGCTTTTTGCCTCTTCAGGAAGATGCAATAGATGCTTTTTTACTTTAAGGAAAGCTAAAGTATGCAATAAAGAAAGCAATTACTTTAGAACAGTTCCACCATGACCCAAGGAGCACACTGCTGATAAGAACCCGTGTAGAACTTATCCAGTGCATCCTGGATGTATCTTGAGACTCACATTCTTCTAGACTGTTTTTCTTCCTACAGTGTCTAGCTTATCAAGACATTATTTTACATGCTCTTTAACCATTAGACCTTAAAGACTTTTAATTAAGTATTTTATGAACGATAAGCTTTTTACAACCACTTAAGCCTTCAACATTTCCTCTATTATGCTAACTTAATCATGCACAAATCTCACATCCCTGAAACAATACGTATTAACTGTAGCTACATGATTTAAACTGAGAAATGTCTTTTCTCTGGTTCCCTTGTTACTTGTCATTATGTTTGAGTATCAGCGTTTGCTGTTCATTTGATCAGAGGTGCTTTACCATCACTGTCAATACACACAAAACAATGTGTCGTCCTCCCACCCGGTTTTTATAAAGCATCACAAACTGCTTATTTCAAACCAGGTTTACTAAAGGTGCCTTGACTTTTTTAAAAGAAGACTGACTACTATAGTTCACTGCAGCAAGGATCCTTACATACTATAAAATACATAATATGTAACACCAATAGGCTACAATTAATATATCATACATTCACAGCAGGCCCACTGTTTTTAATTTTTATTTAATACTGAAGCAATACACACAGATACATATATCAAAAAGGACATCAACTTCCAAACTTAAAATCAGTTTTTCCTCAAACAAAGGTTTCAGTCTTACAAACATCATCAGACAGAAATATGCTGCCAAAAAACAAAATTACCCAAGTATACTGCTTCCGCACATGTACCACTACAGGATCTTTGTCATGGTCTGAGGACAACTGAAAACACGTAGTGCTACATAACTATACATGCACCTTAGCCTCCCAGCAGTACTGGCATGCTCATCATGTGCAGTGGCACCTAATATTTAAAGGCTCTAGGACTGCACACTTTTATGAAATCATACTTTTCATTCCCAGTTGCAGGAATATTCTGAATCAAAGAAGCTTATTAAAGGACTCAGCCATGAATATAAGAGAGGCAACTGATTTAGTGACATACACTTTCTTACAAAGAAAACAACATATTCGTCATCATTTGTCTGAATTTTAGAATTAGAATACAGAAAATTAACTTCAGTGTTTTTATTAAGGATGAAGTAATACCCAAATGAAACACAAAAGAGAAATATCTCTCAACAAAATGCTGATATGTTGCACTACGCTAAGAAGAAACACACTGTAAGAAGTATTTCAATGGTGTAAACACAGTATCTCAGGAATTGCTTTCAATTTATCTGAAACTAGCACTCTGGTATAATCAAAAAGCTGTATACAAAAAAGTAGTTGGAGAATTCTGAATAAGGAAAACATCTCCATTTGATTTTTCCTTCACATACTGAGTAAGCTTAAAATAAGTGTCAAGAAACTCTCCATTTACACCCAAATGTTAGGGGAAAAGCAGGTGATAGTTTCATATTGGTTCAAATTAAGTATTTCATGGAAAGCTTACAAGAGAGTTAAAAATAACAGCATGGGAAAAATGTCTACCACAAAAATGCAATTATTTTCTTGTTCTGAAATGACAGCTTCCAAGAGTGATCTTTTTTCCTCCCCAAAAGACCACAATGATGTATACACTATTTCCCACTAAAAAGTACAGCTAATGCTGCTGATTGTTTCTAGACCTGAAAGCTTCTAAACATATCCCTACTGATGTACTCCAGCAAATACGACACACTAAGTGTTTTGTTGTTAGGGGACTCAGTTTCAGGGATTATATCTGTACTTTGCCTCTTTCTGGTTCATCTGGAAAGCTAAATCAATCCTGATTTAAGGTCTTCCAGTTAAACTGTACACTTTTTTACCAATTAAGTTTTAAACAGACTGAAGATGAAGTCAACACAGTATAGCTATGAGGAAAAAAATTCTGGAATTACTAGAATGGCTTCAAGTCCCAGTAAGTTTGCCTCTTTCATCATGTGTGTATGACTACAGACCCAACAGCCCTGAGGTTCCATGAAACACAAGCAGTTCATGATGCAGATTTATTCTCCTATGTAAGAGAAATAACGCAGATATTATTTCTTAAGAGTATACAGGCAATAGCCATTGACACACCTGAACTAGGCAAGCCAGTTCAGATCTCTTCAGTTTAGCTAACAAACCTAATTTTAAAAGCTCAGACTCATTTGCTACTTGTTTATATCAGTACAAATTAAATACACTGCTTTTCTTATAGTTGCCAGAATACAACTGATAAGGTAATTTTCAGGCAGAAATATCAACTGCTAGTCCACTGAGTTGAAGTAAGATAACCAGACAACAGTATTGCTTCTACAGTATTGCCTTCTTCACCTCAAGTGTGTTTATTATACATAAACCTTGTTCCAAACAACCTACTAACACTCCTAATAATCAGCATTTCAGTTTGGTTAATTAGAAAGTGTGTTACCTTATTAACTTTTTCTGCACTGCTTCCTACAACTACAGAACAACCACAGGTCTGCAGGTGTGAACTAATTGCACTGCAAATAAAACCAAACATAGGTTAATACATTTAATCAAACTTTTGAAATAAAACAATTACCATCTTCACAAGAAGAATGAAGTGTTACTAGTTTAAATATAGGCCCATACTTACAGTCCCGTACCCATAGGACATCACACAGATGTGCAGGTTACTGATGAAATCTGAAAGTTTGACAGTATCTACATTCTCATTTTGATGAATAAGACAACTGTCACTCAACCTCCCAACATCAGTTATAGAGCAAACAAAAACTATCTACTTGCTACTATCTAATTACAGAATTTATGTAACAGAATTCACCTAAATAATGATGGATTTGAATGCTTCTTGACAGAAGATCTATTTCATGCTTGTCCTCATTTTCTGATACTGTGGATCAGAAGCCAGTTTGGAGAGATTTGGCAGGTAAACCGTTCTAACTCTTGGTAAGTACATGGGCAAGAGAATGGCACAAGCTTGAGTCCCTTAGAATACACACAGGCATGTTGGCAGTTGAATGATCTTGTCCTGTGAGCTGCCAGCAGCACAGATCTGATTTAGTTTATCTTAAGTCTGGAGGCTAAAGTAAACATACCTGGACTAACCTTGACGATTATTAACTTGCACTTAATGACCTTCTGTTGAGGTTTCTTATCCTCATGCTCCCTTTTCCCCTACACTTTCTCAAACCAACACCCAGCCCACAGCCTCAAAAATTCTAGATATCCTGGACCACCTAGATACTACTAAAAAAATCTTCCCCACTATCTGTGATTATACAGAAGTACATTTATGTTATCTTACTGCATTGTGTGTGATTCAACAGTTCTGTTAAACACCTCTAACTGACAAGGATTATAGTAGTTATGCTCAGACTCTAAAATCCTGCAGGTGGACTTTAGTGGACCTGCTACTATTTACCTTATCAAGTTTATTCTAAGAGTTAAATTTAAGGCCACCTGAATACTTAAAAATTCTTCCTTTGAGGTACAAATGGATGCTCGCTTTCATTTAGAAATTACTATGAAAACATGACTGCTGATTTTAGAGGCTGGTGTTGTTGATAGGCAATTTATTTAGGTTTAATCCAATTTTAATTCAATGACATGTATAAACCCATACAATGATATATTTAAGACTAGAAATCTGAACCTAGACAAGCTGGTAAGATTTGCAGATAAGCTAAAAAGCAATCATTTGGCCCCTTCACACGAATGGCCAAGTTATTTAATTTCAAGACAAAACTTCCAGGGAGAAGTAGCAGCAAAAAAGATAACTGATACTACCTGCCCATTAAATCTCCATCTGGAATAAGAACAGATCATCACTTTAGGATCAATGGCTCTAGTTGTTTACAACAACCCATTCCATGATATTCACTTCTTTATTTTCCAAATTTTCTATGGAACATTATTATGAAGAATTAGCTAACTTTCTGTAGCACTGAAAGTGTATGAGACACTATAAATAGGCACTAAGCACCACATAAATGAATGCAGTTACACTGGGGATGTTCTGAAAAGTAACAGAACATCATCTAAAATACATGAAATCCGCTTTCCCACAGGAAGAAACTGTGCTCTCAAATTGCTCTCAAGTGCAACTACTTCCACTTATACATTAAAGACAGGAGGAAAAAAAGAGAAACACTATAATTTAATAATACAATTTAACAAGCATTCTATATGCCATACCATTAACGGCTCTTATTCACAGCTTATGCAGGTTTTTTGGCATTTCATAAAAATGTAAAACTTTGTCTTATATCCTCATAAAATCAAACGTATCAAAGAAAACTGTATGTTATAGGAATTCTATTATCAAGCAAATGACTGTAACAACACAGTCTATAGAGACATTCTTCTAAAATGACAGGAACTTCTATAGCATTTTGTAGACAAAAAAATTCAAAAAGCCAAATACATGTCATCCTCCTCCTCCTGTAAGGAAAACTAAGCTACTGCATGTCCACATGCACATACAGATAATTGCATATGTACATGTATATGTATGCACACACAAGTTTAAACCATTTTACTACAGTATAAATCAAAGCTAAAATTCATACTTGAGAAGAAAGCCTTCATGGCAACTATCCCCGATGTCATCATCATTTAGCACTGTGTCACTTATCTGAAATGCAAGTAAATACAAACAAAGGTGAGACAAGGATCTACATCACCTTCCAATTAACTGATTTCTATTGACAGGTGGGAACTGTTTAAGTTGTAAGACTGCCCCAAAAAGCATGACCTTAAAAAGACTTTCTGATTTCAGCCAAAGCATTTTGAAAATGAGAAAGTCACTCAATTATTAAATGTTCTTTACCAGTCACAAGCCAGATTCTTCCCAGTGGCTTTTTTTTTTTCCTATCACCTTAGTGAAATCACTTTTACTTCTTCCATGAGAACACTAAACCACACTGAAACAGGTATCGTAGAATCAGTCACAGAATACCAGGTTGAAAGGGACCTCATGGTCATCTGGTCCAACCATGCAAAGCATGACCTAGACTAGATGTCCCAGCACCCTGTCCAGCTGAATCTTAAATGTTTCCAGCGCTGGGGAGTCCACGACTTCCCTGGGGAGATTATTCCAATGGCTGATTGTTCTCATTGAGAAATATTTTCCACTACTGTCCGCTCAGAATCTCCCTGGGACTAACTTGTGCCCATTACTCCTTGTCTTTTCCATGTGACTCCTTGTAAAAAGGGAGTCTCCATCTTCTTTTAGCCACCCTTTAAATACTGGAATATGGTGATAAGGTATCAACATTAAAACCATTTACCCCATTCCTTTTGCTTTGCATCAGATAGGTTTTCTACTCTACTTTTAAAAACAGTATCACCCTATGCAGTCAATTTTGCTAAGTGCTGACCATAAAAGCCACTGCTCGCACTGTTACATTTACCAAACTGAAACAGGTATGTTAAACCATTCCCTACTTCCCTACACCACTGAGGAGAACTTGATGGAAAACAACCAAAGTTTACAAGAATTTATGACAACTGTGGGCTTTTGTCTGCTAAAGAATGTACCAAATTGGAGTGCAAAAGCCACTTTTTTATTCAGAATGTAAAGAACACAAGGACTTACATTTATTTCTTCTGGAACACTGTGTGACTTCATAGATGAAAGGAGTTCCATTACAGGAATGACTTCTCCTGTCAGCATTGGAATGATGCTCTGGCCCTGCACAATAAATAAAATGCTTCAAGTAAAAGCACATTGTTCAGCATTAGAAGTTACTACTAACATGAGCTTGCAATATTACATGCAAAACATCTTTAACTTCCAATTGTTTGGAAAATCGATGCATAGCCTTCTTGGGCTTTGCTCATCTATAACTATGAACTGGAAAAAATTCTGCTACTCAATATCACGTCTAAAATATATTTCCAGGGTCCCATGTAATTTTCACAATCAGTTTGATTGGGCTAGACAAGAATTATTCAGAGTAAGACAATTTGATCATACTGTATTACATGCAATTACTGTTAAGCATTTTAGAGCCAAGTCTGATGTTTTAACAATGACAGGAAACAAAACCCAAGCATATTCACTATTAACATACAAAACTCCTCATCTGACTTATATTAACAGTTTCAGAAATGAAATTCATTTCACAGCCTTATCCATAAGGTCTCCAACCACATTCCAACATGACAGACTCTGTACATCTCTGTAACTTGCAAAGGTAATGACCTAGTGAAAAAACATCCTTGACAGGAGGCGAGCATGAATCTATGGAAGCCACTGCCTTTACAGAGCTTCAAGTTCAAGTGATTTTCCTTTTCTGATAGGTAATTATTCTTCATAGATCTCCACTTTACTCATAAAATGATGAAATATATTTTCCTTCAACTTGTTCACAGCTTCCACCATCCTGTCTTCAGAAACTGTGCCTCCTGTGCATGGCAGGTCATCAGCCAGTCCAAAGTATCTTCCTGGATCCCAAAAATAAGAAGCAGCACCGACTTCTACAGTCACCAGGTGCAGTCAAATAGTTTTCTGATGGTGTGTCATACACATCAACCAGATGGCCCTTACCTGATCCTCCATTCTCTCCGTGCCTTCCAAGACAATCTTCTGGAAATGTTCTTGCCTCTCCTGAGCAAGAGAATCAGTTAAATATAAACGCTCTGGTATTTGTTTATATATGTATGCACACAACAGTCAAATGGTACAGTTTCTTCCCTGTTGAGTCAGGCTTCTTAGATTCAAATATTGATGTTCAAGCCTTTTTTCTTTTACAGAGTTGACATTAGTGGGAAGTGGTGTCATTTTAAACAGATCAATGCTCCCTACTCTAGCACCCACCAAACTTCTCACATGCTTGGGCAGGAGCAGCAGGAAAGGGAGGATGTGACAACAATGACAAAACATTCATTATAATCAACAAATGCCAAATTATCAGATTATGGTACAGAATTCCACTTTCTGTATGGATTTTTATGTTCAAATGGACGAGGTACAGACTGATGGTTCCTGATGCAGCAAGAGAAAAATGAGATCTCCAAAATGAGAAAAAAAAATTGTCTGGAGAGCGCAGGAAAAAAAGGGACTTTTTTTTTTCCCCCACATCTTGAGACACTGACAGGTATTTGAAACATTGCTTTATAACCAAGTACGGGAGACACGAAACCTCAAAATACACAAAACACAAGGTACAAGAGACAGACAAAGTTCTCAAAACAGACTGAGCAGCAGCTGAATAGCAAACTGCATTAAAAATTCAACTTACAACAGAATAAAGTTCTTCACAAAAAGAATCAGCATTAATCACTGAAAAAAATCAATACAACATACAAAAACAAGGAAGATGCTGCAAAAACTAATGATATCTTTTGCTAGATGCTGACAGGTTACTGTGTTTTTATTGGCTGCTCATTAGTTTCCCATGGCTCAACTACTCAAGTTCATCAGCTTCAAGTGGGAAAAGAGTTTACATAACTTTTTTGAATGGATGAATAGGGAACAAGCTACACTAACTTGCCCTAAACCACTAATAAATCTTGTCTAACCACCTAAAAGAAGCATCTGTGAAAAACAATATTGGAACAAGGCAGACTCCTCCAGGGCACCTCCGTCCTTGAGTTCAGTATTAGTGAAGTAAGACATCCTTGATAGTGAAGATCCCTTGCTCTAAAAGAAGTCAGTCTTCATGAAGATCAGGCTGAACAAATGGTGTAAGCCACTTCTTTTTAGAAATATAAATGCTCAAATTATTAAACAAACAACTGGTAATAAAACTGAAGTAGATAAAAGGGGTTTCTAATTCCCACATAGATGACTTGCTTGAAGTTGCTTGTCTGTCTTTGCCAGTCTGAGCACTGTTCCATGTTTCTCCTAGTTCTTGAGTTCAGAAGAGTTTCTTCTCTTCTAAAGTCTATCTGGAACTGTTATCTGGCTCTACACAGAACTTCTGAGAGTGAATAACCACAATCATTAGAAATTCCACAAGAGATACATAGTTCCTTTCAGATATGACTTTAATATCTTTTGTTCTGTTTAGCCACAGTTGCTAAACTGTCTCAAAACACAAACTACAAAATGAGCCTCATTTAATTTAGTATCATCTTACAACTCGTGCCTAAATTTTAATCTACATTTTCAAACCAGTTTCCTCTCTTCTATGTAAGGCTGCAGAACTGCAGATATATGCAGGGATACTTGATCTTCCTCAAACAGCCCCCCCACAAAAGACCTGACAGACAATAAACGCCTATATCAGAATGCATCACTGTCTCAGCTAAGACAGTTGACCTATTTGCTTCAAGAACATCTGAAAAAGAATGAAGAACTTAATGACTAATTTCTTAGGAAACTAGTAGAAAAGATTTGTCATTTTCAACACCACTTGAAGGCTATTTCTGCTGTAGAAACATACTAATATGGCTCAATGTCCAAAAAGAGGTAAGACTACTGTGCTTAAGAATGATGGACAATTCTTATTTGGCTACTCACATTTCAAAGTCAGTACGAAGGACTCTAAATGACAGAGAAGCAATGTAATCAAGGACACATGATAGAATTCACTTAAATCAAAAGCACTAACATCCAGCATGGTTTTAGAAGACTAGATTAGGAATGACATATTTGTGTTTCTACTGTAGTGAAAATGAACTCTATGTCCTATTTTTCCTCTGAAAAATAAAGCCCAGATGTATCAAGAAACAATGTAGTGGAAAACACTGCCAGCCATCATCAGGGAAGACAGCAAAAATCAATGGAGTTAGTGTAGCAAAAAGGAACCACCACCACAAATTAACATCAGCTTAGTGTTTCTAGAAACTTTATTAGCTCATATACGAGTACTCAGAAAGGAAGTTTAAAGTATGTTGACTAGAGGTCTTAGAAGAGGAAGAAAAACTTTACCAGACAAACATGTATCACAATACACATTACAGCTGACATACAATTTACTGCTCAAAGACAACTTGTACTCCATGAAGATGACAGATTCTAATTTTTATTATTAGAATTGTTATTATTAGAATATTACTTATTTAAAAAAAAATGCATCATAATTTTCACTGAAGAAAATATCCAAAATGTACCTAAAGGTAAGACTTGGAATTCTTCAGAAAAATTTAGCTTGTTTTCTTTTCTCAATTTCAAAAGTATAAACATTTGGACTAAAATAGATGTATTTTTGTGGTTCTCCCATTAGTTTTACACAATGTAACAATCTTGCCAAACTGATCACTGATACCATTTTGTTTGGTTTGTCTTTTTTTTTTGTTAAATAGAACTATAACAATGACACCATTAATTGCACCAGTTCCCTTTTCTGGACCTCAACACTGGAAACAATCATTTCAACACAGTAAATTTACAATTCAATCTGGTTTAAATATGCTAACACAGTTAAAATCAAAAATTTATATCAAATTAGGGACATGAAAAAATATACAGGATGCCTGTTTCACCTAAACAGCCTGGTACAGGTTATATAATGTACTAGGACAAATACTGGTGGCTAAAAACCCCAGCCTTGAATTTGCTGACACATTGATAGCTTTCAGCCTTCAAAACTGTATACCCGCAGAGAGGTCAGCCTCCTCTGAGTTTTTATGTCTGGACTGCTACACAGCAGGCAGCACAGAATCTTAGGTCTTGCTTTTGCTCAAGACAACCTGGACTACTGTGTTTAGTAATGAACAATACACCTACCTTATGCATCCATATTCTTCCTTTCCTTATAATATGTGTTAACCTATCCACACACACTCTGTGAAGTGGCAGGTAGAAGCCAAGTTCACTTTGTGGAAGTATAATTGATAGTCCATACGTGCTTCTGTCTCCATTCCAGTTTCCATCAAAGATTAATGACACAATGATCACTCTTTTTTCTGCCAAGACGAAGAATTTCACATCTATTGCACCACTTTCTGCATTCCGAAGTATTTCTCCATTCAGGGTGTGGTTTGCAAGAAAAGTTATTTCACCATCACTGAGAAGTACCTGTTCTGTCTTTGGGGCCCAGATATGCCGCACTCGGGGACCAAGAATATTGTCCCAGTAAGCAAAAGTGGCAGCTAGTAAAGGTGACTCGCCATTCAAAGAGATCTCTGTTTTAGCAACTGCAGGAGACGGTGGTGGACAAAGAGCTGACATGCCTGCTTTCTCTCTTGCTTATTGCTGAAATCCTTACATTACCTAAAAAAAGAATTTCACAGAAAAAAAAAATAATAAAGAAATTAGAGCAGCACTCACTATTGCCTCATCTTTTGTTTCCAAATAAGACTTCAGGAAACAACCCTGACTTCTGCAGCTGAGATTTCATTGTACACTTAATTCAAGAAGGAAATGTCTATGCATACCTTCCACATAACAAAGTGGTACACTTCACAAACATTAGTCAGTCAGACCTCAAATACCTTTTACTCACTGTACAAGTTCTATGAGCCTGCACAACTTTCAACTCGCGTAAGAAAACTGACATATGATAAATATATCCTCCACATCATGGTGATGTGCAGGGTGTTGCAATGTAAGACAAATGCTCAACACTTTACAGAATGTACTGATGGATAACTCTTCACATTGCATAGATGAAAATGCTTAAAACATTTTGCCTGACAGTTTACAAGTAGACTACAGCTTCCCCATTTCGACTGGGCTGCAGAAGACAACAGGAAGTGTCACCTCCCCTAAAAGACAGGCTAGAACCACATAAATACATTAAATAAAAAGGCTTTATGAATGAATTCCACACAGGATGAAAAACTGCAACATGTAAAATGCATTTATCTTGACGAAATCTCACACGACCAGAACTCAGCTTTGCTTTCCTCATCACCTGCAGCACTGCACATTGTAGGAGAGAGGAACCCCTTTATTCCCTTCCCCGCACGAAGGGGAGCACTAGCTCCAACCTTACTGACGGGTTTGTTTCACCTACTCTT